TTTGTAGATCTGGGGGAGTACTCCAACAGAAACAACCAGAATCATGAAATGGGCATTTTGGTTTTCCTTTCTTCACCGCATACAGAAAGTATTGCCTAATCAATATGATTTATCTTATTACTCCAAGATAACACTATCTTCCCAAAAATACTTGGATTTGGCACAAACTGCAGCAGCCTCCAAAGATGAGCTTTTAAGTGGAAAACAACTCATAGCCATTCATTATTTACTTGTTATATTCTGTCTTTCTCTTTGTTGAACCCTCAAGTGTAGGGTGTTTTCTACAAATCATAAAATTCTTATAAAGATTTAACTCACAAGTCTCCTCGTATGTACATGTATCTCTTAATGATTCTGCTTTCTTAGGGCACAAAGTAGCTATCATTCACTTTATCAATCATCAGTATAGGATGTGACACATCCAAATACTCTTTTCACTAATAATCAGAAACACCAATGAAAACTAGCCCCTTTTTAAGAAAAAAAAATGCCCACTCTATAATTCAGTAAGAGTTTTCCTATTATACCAGAAGGAATCAGGGAAATGCCAAAAGTACTATGGACTCTTTCACAGGAATATTTGTGCACAGCATAAAAGCACAGTATCTCTTTTAAATGTAATGATAATCTTGACTGTTATTTCCTCAGCCTATCCACACTTCAACTCAAATACCTTGGCCACCTAATGAGAAGGAAAGACTCGCTGGAGAAGAGCCTAATGCTGGGGAACGATTGAGGGCAAAAGAAGAAGGGGACGACAGAGAATGAGGAGGCTGAATGGAGCCACTGAAGCAGTAGGCATGAGCTTAAATGGACTCTGGGGGATGGTAGAGGACAGGAAGGCCTGGAGGAATGTTGTCCATGGGGTCGCGATGGGTCGGACACAACTTCGTGACTAAGAACAACAACAATATCCACACTTCACAGTGTTAACAAAAACATAATGTACTGCTTATTATTATCTCTACAGAGAGCAACAGAGCTTGCTTTTTCAGTGTACTGGTAGTTCTCAACCTACAACTATTTATTTAGTGACTATTCGGATGGCACTGAAAATAATGCCTTATGACTGGTCTTTGCATTTACAACCATTATAGCATCCCCAAAGTAATACAATCAAAATTTGGACACTTGGCAACCAGCATGTATTTACAACAATTGCAGTGTCCATGTGATCCCAGGGCCATATGATCACCATATGTGACTTTCCCAGATGGCTTCCGACATTCAAAGTCAGTGGGGGAATTTGGATTTGCTTAACATCCAGATGATTCACTAACAACTGTAGTGATTCACTTAAGAACTGTGGCAAAAAGATCATACAATAAAGAACATCTCACTTAACAACCCCCCTGCTTAGCAATGGAAATTCTGGTCCCAACTATAATCATAAGCAGGGGTGGGATTCTACCGGTTCTGTCCACTTCTGTAGAACCGGTAGTTCTGAAGAGCAGCAGACATGGAACCGGTTCTATGTCTGCTGCTGTTTGGGCCCACCCACATGCCCGGGCTCTTACCTAACTTTTATTTCCTGCTTTTTCAACCGCAGCTGCTTTGCACGACACAGCTGCGGTTGAAAAAGCAGGAAAAAAAGGTCTTTTCTAACTGCTGCACACTTGCACACAGTGCTGCTCAGCTGTCCGGGCAGCTCAGCAGATCGTAAATTGCACTCGCGCGATTCGCGCAACACAGAGCAACAGAACCGGTAGTTATACCGGTCGGATCCCATCCCTGATCATAAGTCACAAAAAACAGGAATCTATAAAATAGGAACCCATAATGCTACAGAATTTCCATTGTATTGCAACTTAGTACTGTACATCTCAAATGCTCTGTTGGTGAACAGATGAATCCCTCTCCTTTCTCAAAATATTTTAGCAAAACAACCCCCAAACTTTCTTAATAAGAGAAGGGGGAAAACATACTGATGTTGTGTCATATGACAATTTTCCTTGTCTATCATTTTCTTGTTCCAACTTACCTTCTCAAGCAAAACACTCAAGTAATGTTTTAAATACAGGCTTATAAAGCCAAAGCAGAACCACATATTTTCTTTTATATAGACTTGGGAAATCCTTAAACCCAAATCCTTAACTTTATCTTTTCAAAGACCTGCCTTCCTCTCCATTTCCCATCAGTCCTTCCTGAAACTAAGAAATCAATGAATTAAGTTCTTCAAGCCCTACAGGTGGGTCTCATGTAATGATATTCATTCATTCATTCAGTGACTATTATGAACTCACAGTAGTGCTGAACAAGTGGTAGCTAGGATCAGTCCTCATACTTATGTCAGTCACAGCATCCCCACAGCCATGGGTTCACCATTTACAAGTTTAATTTTTCCTACAAGCAAAATCAGTGGGAAAGCAGGAGGAGATTGCAAATGATGTCCTCACCTAATGAGCCACAGTGATTCATTTAATCATGGAAGTGCCAACACTTCCATCAGTAAGCAGTGCAATCATGTGATGGGCCACTGGGATTGGCCTATACCACTGGGGCCAGTAGAGGAGGCATACTGAGGGTCCTGTCAGCCTGATTATTCCTGCTGGTGGTGTTCAGGAGGAGGGCCTTCTCTGTTGTTGCTCCTGCCCTATGGAACACCTTGCCCCCCCCCCCCCCGCCCCCCCCCCCCCCCCCCCCCCCCCAATGTGAAGTAGGCCCCAGCCCTCCTATATTTTCATAAGGGCCTAAAGACCTATAAGCTTCAGGCCCCAGTGGAGGAATAGCAATGGAGGTGGCCAATTGAGTAATAACAGATCCAACCCACCCCACTCTGCCCCCACCCTCCCCACATGTCCTTGGTTTTAACGTCTGATTTTAACTTTTTATGTTTTATGTATATGTAATTGTAAAACATCAAGATTTACCCTATGGTAAGATGGGCAGCCAACAAATTTTATAAATAAACAAACGAATAAATGTTGCACATTACAACTGTGTTGCTTAGTGATGGAAATTCCAGTCCCAATTATGTTGTAAACTCTCCGACTGCAATTTATTAAAAATATTAACAAAGTCAATTGATTGAAAAAAATCAGTGTCATTACAGCGGTTAACCATATTTCTGATAAGGAAAACTTGGCTTTTAAGGTTTATTATTGAAGATTTTCTGGCAATTTCAATATCTGCAGCTAATTATTCTTTTTCTAAATTCTTTCTTGTTTTTTTAAATTTTGGCTCTTTTCTTGCCCTTTTTGCCCAGTAACAGTTTCCCAGGGAAAAGCCAGGTCATTTTCTTCATAGGTCTAAATTGATTGCAATATCCTTAGTGTTGCCTAGTCACCTCGTTTGTTCCTTTTATACTCCTTGTTGAATTCTGCATTAGCTATTCTTGTGGGAGCTTCTGTTCTTCTTTCAAAGTTCAAAGTCTTAAACATACAGCAAATTGCTTCCAGCTTCCACTTATACTACTACCATGCTAATTTTATGCATGAATAAATAAATTCTTTGCAGTCACCTCAAGAAGCTCAAGTATTTGCTGGACTTCCGGTTTGAAGGGCTTCAGCGACAAACAGAAATCCGCGATCGTGCGCGGTTTCTGTCTGGGCTTGCCGCTGGAGCGCCCCGAGCCGGCTGGTTTCGGGGCTAAGCCACCCTGTAGAGGTGGTGAAGAGGGGGGAGACCGCCAGCAGGGTTGAGGAGAGCCACATTTCTCTTCCTCAGCTGGCCATTACTCCCTTTCCCGAAGGCAGTTGTAGCGGTGGTCAGAAATGGCCACCACAAAGAAGAACTCGACCGGAAAAGAATGTGCAGGAGGAAGATAAGAAGTGAAAGTTTTGGCTGACCGGGTTAAATTGTAAAAGCAACAACTAAGGTACCCTGGAATTTAAACTTACAAAAAATAACATCGCTCCCAAAGAAGAGTCGGAAGCAGCGAAGGAAAGTGAAAAGGGAAAGGTTTGGCTTTTTTTTTTCTCTCTCCTTCCCTATACTGACAACTAAGAGACCTAAATAAGAAATCGGAAAAATTCGCTTTGACATCAATAGGCAATTAAGCTGAAAATAAAACAAAATGCCAAAGGGATAATAAAGATTTCTGGACATTAAAAATGTTCTTTTTCATAAGCAGGAAGGGAGAGAAAAAGAATAAGGGCAGGATCTGGAAGAGGGAGGAGACTGCCTGGAATTAAAAAGAATCTACAGTAAAACTTCAACAAGATTTCTAAAAGATACATTTTAACTGAAACTTTGCAACTAAATAGTAACCCCAAGAAGAGAAAGTGAAAAAAAGAGCAAAAAAGAAACAGCTTGCGTGTATTTGGATTATTTGGTGATCTTTGGATTCTTGGTTATTATATTTGAATGACTAAAATCAATCGGGTGGTTGTTTAAAAATTTATACAATGGCACCACTTCTGGATGAATTGAAAATGGAACTTAAAAAGTACAAAGAAGATGCACAAGAAGGGAAGGGTTCTTTTGGCTTCGTTTTTCAATTCTTAGAAATGGAGATTTGGAACTATGAGAAACAACAAGAAAAGACTGCAAAACAAGAAGACTGGGACAAAGAAGAAGCCATCTTTAATGAACAAGCAATTTTATGTAGGGAAGAAAAAGGAAAGGGGGGCAAGAGAATGGAGAATTTAAGACTTAAAAAAACAACCAAAGAAAAGAAAAATAATTCGAAAAAATAAGTATAATACTGGAAAGCAACAGAAAAGGGGAATACAGAAGAGAGAAATAGAGGTAGAGAGACAAGGGGGTAAAAAGGGGAGAGGGAAGAAGGAAAGGAAAAGAAGTTACAAAAGACCGGAGCAAGATATAGAGAAACAGGACCTATTTAGAGATAATGGGTGAAAATCTAACTGAAAAAGGGATTCTGTAAAGATACATAAGATTGTATTGTTATATTAGTAATAAAAAATGTTAGGGATAACATTGGTTACCTAACTTAGTTTGGCTAAATATAATATATGTTTGTTAGTTTAAATGTGTGTGTCACTTTAAACTGTAAGCCAAGTATTTGGGTGCGGTTGTAAATCGCCATAAGAGGGAGCAAGAGAGCTCACTGTTCGCCGGCTTTTACTGGAATGCTGACAGAGAAGGATTGATGATGATTACTGCGAGCATTTGCTGAGAGAAGAAAAGAAGGTTTGATTTTTTGCTTCATATCTCTGACTGCAAAAGAGATACATCATTGGACTGATTGTTTGTGAGTTGAACGACCTATTTTCTACACTGGACTTTGCAAACTGAATAACCCTCGGACTGTCTGAACTTAGTGTATGACATATGGACTGCTTTGACTATGCTATAACTCTTGCTGGAATAAAAAACTATTTAATTGCACAGTGTATCTGTCTTACTGAGTGTAAAGCTACAACAATGTTTTATCTCACACACACTCTCTGTCTGCTAGACTGCCGTTGCACGTTCTGCTAGGGTGTTGTATCCCTAACAGAAATAACTTTAGAAAATTGAAAACAACGTATGATTAAAATGAGGGATAAAATAGTTAGTGTAATTTAGTGAAATGTTTGTGAATAAAATAAGTGAAATAAAATAAATGATAAAATTGAATTAGGAAGGAACGGGAACATTTTAATTAGTTAAATAAAATATAAGTGAAGAGGGGGGGAATTAACTATGGAAAGCTTATAATTGTTCCCATAGAAGTATGATATTTAATTGAAAAGTAATGTTAAAGATGTTAAGACTTTAATGAATATTAATATTAATGATAGAATTGAATTGGAATGGAATGTTGTTTTAATTACATACATTTATAATTTTTTCTTTTTTTAAGAATACAGTGTGTATTTTAAGAATGTACCAAGCAGAATCCGAATGGAAGTTATGTATTATATTGAATGTTACAACTTTAGGGAAAAGATATAAAGGCGTCATACTCCAATCAGTAACTACAGGAGAAATTTTGTTTAATGAGAAAAGATAATAGATAATTGAAACAGGACAGACAAAAAATATAAATACAATGATTTGAATTGAGATGAGATAATTAAAATAAAATTGAGAAAATTAAAAGAGGGGAGAAGCTATGCAGAAAATGTAAAATAGTAACAAGATATAGAATAGAATATAAAAATGAGCATGAACCTGAATTTGTGTCTGTACGAAGAAATGTAAGTAGATTACGCTACTTTCAAAAAAGATGTTTTATTTGTATTTTTTTTTTCTCTTTGTGAAAACTCTTTTGCTCACAACAGTTCTGATAATGGAGAACAGACAAATATTTTTTTTAATGTCTTCACTAGCTTGAGAGCATGGCAGTTATAATAAAACCTCAGAGATGGAAATGTAATTAAACAGGAGATAGAAATATTTTACATGTAGGTATATTTATTAAAGGCTATTTTTTTCTTTGTTTGACTCTATCCCTCTTCAGTCCTTATATCTACACAGCTGTTTCTTGTATAAATTTCTCTACGCCAAATATAACTGTTAGTAATATACACTTCAGGCAAATTCATTAAAAAGAACACATTACTTTTTTGGAGTCCAAGCACATTTTTGCAACATTTAAATAAATGAAGCAAGGAAATTTGAATCTAGATCGTAGGCTGCTTATTGCTTACTTCTCTAAAGCAAGGTATTGGGGAAAGGGAAGAGGAGAGAGAGCTATTAAATTAATAATTTTGAACAAAAAATGAGCCACAACTTATTCGGAAATGAGAACAACACATTAAAAATATTAAGAATAGGGATTTGAATAAAGAAGAAACTGACAAAGGGGTATATAAGCTGGTTATTAAGAATTAGGAATGAATGGCAGATATAACCACAGAATAACATGTACAATAAATAAATAACTAAATAACTGTCAAGCAGCTAAAATGATGCAAATTCATGAGCCAGCAATGTTGCAGGAGGTTCACAAAGATAGTACATGCTGTTTTAGGGACAAAGGAAGCATTAAATACTCTGCAGGTATCTCAATTAGGCCCTGTTTTTCCTTTTTATTTCTTTTTGTTTCATTCCACTATCCTACCCTCCACTTTATTGTTGCAGAAAGTGTTTTTTTTTTTAATTACAGATAACAATTTTTGTTTTGTTAACAAGCAGGGTTTAATAATCTTTGGGAATCAAACATTTTCAGACTGGGTTATATATAGCCAAATAAACACAGTGTTTTTAGGATAAGCCATGAAAGAGCTGTTGTCTAAGTTTTAAAGGTTAGTATGATGAAAAAAGGAACAAAATACACAAAAGGCTGTTTACACAGAAAAGGATACTGTAATTAATAAAATTACTGCACTGTGAACAAAAAAGGGACAGCAATGATATAACTAATTTTCCATTTAGGTTCTAAGGTGTGCACAACTCTTGCTATTATATTGATTAATTTAGTCTCTAGCTGTAAATTTATAAAATAAATAACACTAAATGATTATCAATTCGTTCTCTTCTTGGGCAAAGCAGACCCATGGCTATTTTGAAAGAAAAATAAGATTAATGTTGGAGAAATTATTTAAAGTACCTTATTTAAGGTAATAAAATCTTAATGTAATAAAACTCGGTTCTGTGCAATCATTTACACAAAAAGAGAGGTGGGGAAAGCAGATCTCTTATTAGAGTCCCTACGTTCTTCATCTCACTTAATTAAAAAGAATAATAGGGTGATTTTAAAAAAAAAACAGATTTCTTCCTCCACACTGTAATCAAACTTCCTTCAGTTGAAATTCACAGTTCAATAAAAATGGGGGAGGGGAGATAGAGGTGGAAGATCTTTTTTGCAGCACCAAATTAGATCCAGTACTTTCCATGAAAAAAAATGTGTCAAAATAGTAGAATTTATCAGAGTAACAGTAATTACCAAAGCACCACTGTTAAAATAATCATGTGTTATTATAAGTTTTGAACTTATGTGCAAAGGCAAAGGTAAATTTAATGGAGACCATTAAATTATAATGAAGAAACTATTACTCTATTTAGTAATATCACTCAAGAGTCCTCATAGGAAGTAGAATCCACACCAACTTTGGAGTGAGATCTATCCCAGGCTATAAATATTAGACAGGGGCAACAGCAAATATTTTCATGTCCTCATCCTCATCCTCATCATCATCCATATGTTTATAAATGTATTTCATAAGTTCCTTCCTTCCTTCCTTCCTTCCTTCCTTCCTTCCTTCCTTCCTTCCTT